AGTCGTGAAATAGTGCGTTTATGTTTATATTACACGAGGCAACTACTCCGAAATTAAAATTTTAAAGTAATAGAAGTTTATATGAAAATTATTTTAAGTCCCGCGCGTGATTCAGACTTTTTAATGTTTAAATAAATGTACTATTGTTTAAATATTACTCCATTCTATCCCGAGTGCAATAAAAATCGTTTAAATAATTATAAAATAATCGATAATCATTAATTTATAAAATTTTGTGTTAAGAAAAGTTAATCGCGTTGTGCACAGGTCGGAGAGCAATACGAAACTAACTCGCGAACTGTCAAAATCGTGAAAAAGTGAGTTTATGTTTATATTACACGAGGCAGCTACTCCGAAATTAAAATTTTTAAGTAATAGAAGATTATCTGAAAATTATTTTAAATCCCGTGCGCGATTCAGACTTTTTAATGTTTAAATAAATGTACTATTGTTTAAATATTACTCCACTCTATCCCGCGTGCAATAAAAATCGTTTAAATAATTATAAAATAATCGATAATCATTAATTTATAAAATTTTGTGTTAAGAAAAGTTAATCGCGTTGTGCACAGGTCGGAGAGCAATACGAAACTAACTCGCGAACTGTCAAAATCATGAAAAAGTGAGTTTATGTTTATATTACACGAGGCAGCTACTCCGAAATTAAAATTTTTAAGTAATAGAAGATTATCTGAAAATTATTTTAAGTCCCGCGCGCGATTCAGACGTTTTAATGTTTAAATAAATGTACTATTGTTTAAATATTACTCTATTCTATGCCGCGTGCAATAAAAATCGTTTAAATAATTATAAAATAATCGATAATCATTAATTTATAAAATTTTGTGTTAAGAAAAGTTAATCGCGTTGTGCACAGGTCGGAGAGCAATACGAAACTAACTCGCGAACTGTCAAAATCATGAAAAAGTGAGTTTATGTTTATATTACACGAGGCAGCTACTCCGAAATTAAAATTTTTAAGTAATAGAAGATTATCTGAAAATTATTTTAAATCCCGTGCGCGATTCAGACTTTTTAATGTTTAAATAAATGTACTATTGTTTAAATATTACTCCACTCTATCCCGCGTGCAATAAAAATCGTTTAAATAATTATAAAATAATCGATAATCATTAATTTATAAAATTTTGTGTTAAGAAAAGTTAATCGCGTTGTGCACAGGTTGGAGAGCAATACGAAACTAACTCGCGAACTGTCAAAATCGTGAAAAAGTGAGTTTATGTTTATATTACACGAGGCAGCTACTCCGAAATTAAAATTTTTAAGTAATAGAAGATTATCTGAAAATTATTTTAAGTCCCGCGCGCGATTCAGACTTTTTAATGTTTAAATAAATGTACTATTGTTTAAATATTACTCCATTCTATCCCGAGTGCAATAAAAATCGTTTAAATAATTATAAAATAATCGATAATCATTAATTTATAAAATTTTGTGTTAAGAAAAGTTAATCGCGTTGTGCACAGGTCGGAGAGCAATACGAAACTAACTCGCGAACTGTCAAAATCGTGAAAAAGTGTGTTTATGTTTATATTACACGTGGCAACTACTCCGAAATAAAAATTTCTAAGTAATAGAAGATTATCTGAAAATTATTTTAAGTCCCGCGCGCGATTCAGACTTCTTAATGTTTAAATAAATGTACTATTGTTTAAATATTACTTTTTTCTATCCAGCGTGCAATAAAAATCGTTTAAATAATTATAAAATTATCGATAATCATTAATTTATAAAATTTTGTGTTAAGAAAAGTTAATCGCGTTGTGCACAGGTCGGTGAGCAATATGAAACTAACTCGCGAATTGTCAAAGTCGTGAAATAGTGCGTTTATGTTTATATTACACGAGGCAACTACTCCGAAATTAAAATTTTTAAGTAATAGAAGATTATCTGAAAATTATTTTAAGTCCCGCGCGCGATTCAGACTTTTTAATGTTTAAATAAATATACTATTGTTTAAATATTACTCCATTCTATGCCGCGTGGAATAAAAATCGTTTAAATAATTATAAAATTATCGATCATCATTAATTTATAAAATTTTGTGTTAAGAAAAGTTAATCGCGTTGTGCACAGGTCGGTGAGCAATACGAAACTAACTCGCGAATTGTCAAAGTCGTGAAATAGTGAGTTTATGTTTATATTACACGAGGCAACTACTCCGAAATTAAAATTTTTAAGTAATAGAAGATTATCTGAAAATTATTTTAAGTCCCGTGCGCGATTCAGACTTTTTAATGTTTAAATAAATGTACTATTGTTTAAATATTACTCTTTTCTATCCCGCGTGCAATAAAAATCGTTTAAATAATTATAAAATTATCGATAATCATTAATTTATAAAATTTTGTGTTAAGAAAAGTTAATCGCGTTGTGCACAGGTCGGTGAGCAATATGAAACTAACTCGCGAATTGTCAAAGTCGTGAAATAGTGCGTTTATGTTTATATTACACGAGGCAACTACTCCGAAATTAAAATTTTAAAGTAATAGAAGTTTATATGAAAATTATTTTAAGTCCCGCGCGTGATTCAGACTTTTTAATGTTTAAATAAATGTACTATTGTTTAAATATTACTCTTTTCTATCCAGCGTGCAATAAAAATCGTTTAAATAATTATAAAATTATCGATAATCATTAATTTATAAAATTTCGTGTTAAGAAAAGTTAATCGCGTTGTGCACAGGTCGGTGAGCAATATGAAACTAACTCGCGATTTGTCAAAGTCGTGAAATAGTGCGTTTATGTTTATATTACACGAGGCAACTACTCCGAAATTAAAATTTTTAAGTAATAGAAGATTATCTGAAAATTATTTTAAGTCCCGCGCGCGATTCAGACTTTTTAATGTTTAAATAAATGTATTGTTGTTTAAATATTACTTTATTGTATCCCGCGTGCAATAAAAATCGTTTAAAGAATTATGAAATTACCGAAAATATTAATTTATAAGCTTTAGCGTTTAGAAAAGATAATCGCGATGTTTACAGATCGGAGAGTAAGAGAAAACTAACTCCCGAACTGTCAAAGTCGTGAAAAAGTCCGTTGATGTTTACATTACTCGAGGCAACTACTCCGAAATTAAAATTTTTAAGTAATAGAAATTTATATTGAAACTATTCCAACTCCTGCGTGCTATTTAGTCATTTTCATGTTTAAATAATTGTACTATTGTTTATATATAACTTTATTCTATCCTGTGTATATTAAAGATTCTTTAAATAATTATAAAATTTCCGAGGATATTAATTTATATGTTTTCGCATATATAAATAAAAGTGCCGACGTGCACTGGTAGGAGCGGAAAGGGATACTAATTGACTATTTTCAAAGTTAATCGAAGGATCGTTTTTGTTTATATTGCATATGAGCAGGAAACCATATTAAAGATAAAATTTTTAAGCATATTTTATATTAAAATTATTTTAAGTTTATCTCGCGATCCCTTCATTATAACGTTTAAACAAATCTACTATTGTTTATATATTAATTTATTCTATTTCGCGTACATTGTAGATTGTTTAAATAATTGAACAATTATTGAAAATATTTATTTATAAATTTTTTGCTTTTATAATGAGAATGCTTCGATGTTGGAGTATGGAAGGAAACATATTCGGTGATTATTAAAGTTAAGAAAAAGTTAGTTAATGTTTACATTAGGTAAGGCCAACTATCACGAGGCTAAAATTATTATTTATTTAAGTAGAGTAATTTTGTATTAAAATTGTTTCGAATTTTTCGCTCGTTTGAATCTTTTTAATATTTATACTAACGTACTATTGTTTAAATATTACTTTATTCTATATCGGATCCATTATGAACGGGTCTTAAGTACTAAACGGTTTTTAACTTAATATAGTATTCCTTAAATATTGCATTATTGCATGTCGCATACATTGTAATTAGATAATGAACGTATCTGTAAGATGATTTAATGTAGCCGTATGGAGAGAGTACATTTCAACATTTATTCCTTGGAGTACGAAAGAAGACTGACGTAGTAACTCGCATTATGCTTCCAATGGTCCTTCTTGTTGATGTCATCGATCGACGAAGGTTGAAAGTAAATTATTTTGTCTAATGCGTCTTAAAAATTATGCGAAGCTTTACGAAATGTAATATCGTTTAATTATTACCTTATCGTACCCCGAATGCATTGTACATTGTTTAAATAATTATAAGACGGTCGTTTCTGTAAGATGATTGAATTTAATGATACGGAGAAATTCTATTTCGAGGTTTACTACACGGAATTCGAAAGAAGACTGACATGGTAACTCGCGTCGTTCTTCCAATGGTCCTTTTTGTTGATAAAAATTTTTAAGTATTGCAATTTAAAATGAAAATTATATTAAGTTTCTCGCCAGCTAAGAATCTACTATTATTTAAACATTAACTCCATCACAGAATGGATGTGTTAATGAGACAATTAAGACCATTCATCGATCGTCTTCCACGTGAAATCTGTTCATGGCATCTAAAGAAGGTATTAAAAAATAAGGAGGAAAGAGTAGAATGTCCTTATTACTTTATTATAAACTGAATGAGGACAAAGAAACACCAGGTGGGATAAACAAAGAAAAGTAAGAAGGGAAATCTAAACGATTACCATTAAAGTGTATATTTAGAAAGGATTACGTCTATGTTATTTTGGATTGCACGTTGAAGATCAGGCATCTATCCTTCCAATTCAGATAACGTCGGTTACTAATCGCACGTCGACAATGGTTGTTGGTTGAAAGAATCCACATTAAATTCATTAATACAAAATTAAAGAAATAAATTTATCAAAGTAGAATGAATTCTCGATAGTTACTCGATAGATGTCGACAACGATAGATGTCGACAAATTCAATAAAAAATGCATAAAGAAAAGAAAAATATACTCTTACGAGAAACTGAAGGATAAGGTTAGAGTAAAAGAACGCCGCTTAATATACAGAAATGAGTGTAGAAACTCGAAGAAAAGATGTCAATTCTGTTCGACTGTCAACCAAATTTATCTTACATATTTCCAAGTACACGCGACACTGTTAACTATAACGAACAAAATCACGACGCCGGAATCCTGAAAAAAAATAAAAAGCAGTATTAATTAAACGTTCTCGTAAAGTGACAAAATTTTAACAATACTTATGTCGACTAATACTTTATCATGCGTCGTCATGTGTCCAATAACATTTCTTATTGTAGATAAGTAAAACTTTATAATAACGAAAATTCCTTACGTCACTTTCATTCTGTCATAAAAATAACGATTCCTTATATCGTTCTGTTAGGTTAACAAATGCAGTACAATAACTTACCTTTCGCAGTTGAGCGTAATCGATGTTTAGATTTACACATGAATAAAACCTAACTGGACGCATCAATAAATAATTTCAATTTCATAAATACTTTATTTAGCCTTCTCAATAATAATCCACGCTTTTCTCCTCCTTTGTCTATTGCCTCTCGGTTCTTTAGTTCACCAAGTCCAACATAACCAATTCTTCGTCACAGGATGGCCAACGTTACAAATCTTAAAGTTCCTAGAAAATGATATGAGCGCGTTCTAAAGTATCGATTGATTCTCACACGGTGAGTATGCGAGCCGCGCATACGTATCATCTCATACGATACTATGATACGTCAATGCATATGAAAATCTAACACAATATGATACAGGGCATGTAAATAGATAAACGATAGTAAGGCTAATTAATGACAATAAGTCATTAATTTTTAACATTGCAAAAAAAGAGAGAAGGGAAGTATTTTGATATCGTGAAAAAAAATGAAAAATATACGACTAATAAAATATAAATGATTAAGCTGAACGCCGTTAGTAAACACAATACGTAATGTTAGGCAATTTAACCGTATATATAGGCCATTTGTTATAATAAATCGATCCATGATAATGCTGCATTGACAATTGAACGACGCCTTTGTTTGTAACAAACAAATTATTATATAATAAAAAAAATTTATAATTATTCCGAAATGAAAATCTATATACTTGATTATTTCATTATTTCATGACTCCTCATAAACGAGCCCGGACTTGACCCAAGTCAATACAATATTGTCCTAAACTTAATACAATATTAAGCCAGCGTGGAGATCGGATTGGTAGTCCAGCATGCATGGAGATACCTCGATTACTTAGATTTTTATATTGTTTCAAAAATGGTCCAGTGTCTTAAGCCGAATCAACTAACGTGCTCAATCACGTAGATAAAGAGATTTAAATCCTTCCAATTCAAGCACGAGCGTACCAACGATATCCGAAAAAGATCCTTTTACCTTCAAGATGCCTTTCTCCTTCGAAAAGAAGGACGAAATGGGCCACGTCCATCTCGTCCTTCTCATCTGTAATGAGAAAAAAAAAGAGGGTGCCTCTTGCCGCGTACTTACCATGCCAGAGTCTTCGGAGACTTCCACGCGCGCTTGGTACTTCAATGACCGATACCAATGATCAACGAACGACACGTTGCAATCCAATACGTGTTCGTGACTCCGTTCAGATTTAACTTGCTATTTCAACTTGTTTTCTTTGATTTGCGATAAGCTTATTAAGTCTGTTAGCCGAAACAAATGGGAGGGAATATATTTCTCGACATTTTATTTCCGGCAAAAGTACACATACAAAGGAAGTGAATATACGCATAACTAATAGCCTTTATTCCTAGGCATTAGTTTTTCGTTTTCGGTCAACTTCATTGTCAGACAAAGCGAATGCGTAGAAATGAATACTGCTTAAATCCAATAGAATAGACGTATTAATTTTTGAATTAATTAATTGTTGTATCATCGTATTGCGTAAGGTCATTCTCATGCAAGTGTACGTAGTTGTCTGTATGTACGAGATTAGAAGCAACTGCCAGGCGTACTTTTTTATACATCGGTGAGCAGCTTTTGGCAATCGACTGCAATTCTCTAAAAGGACGCAATGCCAATAAGAAACCACTGTAAGGGGTATCGCACTGCAATCGGCATAAACTCTTTTACGTATGATGCCATCAAACGCGTGGGCGTATGAATTGTTTGATTATATACAGATGTTCGTTTATTTTCTGACCATGAAAACAACGCGTAGAATCGTCGTTAATCGTCGCAAATCTCGAGGATTCACGTTTTCATGATAATCTTTGTTAATAAATCGGAACCTATGAGCCTTCCTATTGCCTTCCTAACGTATTAAGATACGTTACTAGGTAGACTTCACTTTTTAAAAGCGCAAGTACAAACTTGGCTTAAGTAATACCTTGGGCAAAACCTTTATTAAAAGACATTATTAAATTTTTACATTAATGTAAAGACCGTCAAGGTAAGAATAATAGGATTGCGATTGTGTTCTATCAATCGCGATAGATTGCGTCAGAGGTTCCGGATTTGTTTCGCAAAGTGTCTAACGCGCAATGGATCTCAATTAAGCATCACCGTATAGCGTCTTCGGGCTGACAGATGATTGGTAATGATCCATTAACGCTATTAAAAATGTGGGACAATGTCTCTCAGCGAAGCTATTAATTACGAACGCTCAGTATAACATTTTCATCGGTAGAGTAAGCTGACAAACGTGTCTCCTCGATAATCAAATCGCCAATTGTCCGCGATACTTATTTCAATATCATCAAACTCCTTTACGCATTAGAAAAACTTCATTACGTATAATCATCATGTGGGACAACGATGATATGGTAATTGTTTTTCCCTTATCTCTCCTCCTCCCTTAGATATAACATAATTTCAAAAATAAAGATCTTTTTTCTTTTGCTTTTATTATCGCAGGAAGAAATTGATCTCAGCAAGGACCAACTTAAACGTGAGTATTATGTTTGATATAATAAAAAATTAATATTTATTAAATTATTCTTAATAAAGCAAGTATCTTGCATGTAACCATTGACAGACCTTCGTATGGCATTCGACACTTTCGATCCCGAAAAGAAAGGTGCGATTGAAACCTCGATGGTTCCAACGATTTTGGAAATGTTAGGACACGAAGTTAGAGGTGTTAATTTGCAAGAAATGATCTCAACCTACGACTTATGGGGTACGTCTAAATCACCCACAACAAGATCGAATCCTTTTTAACTTTTCGATTTTCAAAAATAATTGTTTTTTGAGCACGGAAAGAGAAAAGAAGAAAATAGAAGTGAAATAAAAAAAGAAAATAAATAAATGAATAAGATAATAAAAATATTATCTATCAACGTAGGATCGGGCGAGTTGAAATTCGATGAATTCTCCAAATTAGCATCTCGTTTTATGGAAGAGGACATGGACACGGAAGCCATGAAGGAGGAACTTAGAGAAGCTTTCCGAATTTACGACAAGGAAGGAAACGGTTATATCACTACCGATGTCTTCAGAGACATTCTTCATGAGCTGGATGACCAACTATCCCCGGAGGAACTTGACATGATTATAGAAGAGGTGGACACTGATGGATCTGGCACGCTCGACTTCGAAGGTGAAGAGATTTTACTTGTTTGTTTTACTTTTAAGTCACGTGTATTGCGGTACGCAGGTGTCACGACAGTTTGTCTCTCTCTCTCTCTCTCTCCCCCCTCCCCCCGATCCACCCTGGAGATAAAGTTGACGATTTATATTTCAGAATTCATGGAGGTCATGACGGGATAAATTATGAGCTTCTCGCCCGAATTAGCAGTTAAGTCCTACCAATGCGGTCGAGGAAGAAACGTCGTGTCACGTGTACAGATAGGGACGAGCACGATTTATTATAGTTGTGTGCGAAAATGTCTGGTTATTCGAGTGCGTGCGTGTGTGTGCGTATGTGTGTGCGTGCGTGCGTGCAAGTATGTACGTTCAGCAACACGTTCCTTGGGCAAACCCATTATATAAAGTTCGATTCTACATGGAAAAAGTTTGCGCCTTTGATTATTTAGGATTGATTGTAGGATCTTTTAACAAAGGTCCTCTTAGAAGATTTTGAACTCGTTAGAAATACGTCTTGGTGCATTTAATGAAGTTGAAATTTGCCGAAATTATTATATACAGTTTGCTCGGGAAACGTGTAGAATACGCGAAACAATCATCATATATGTACCTACAGTATGAATATATTTTCAACTAATGTGAACTTTCGAATTTATTTGAAAAAATATGTGTAAATTTGAAAAAATTTAATAAAGAGAAAAATCGTAAATCGTAAAGCATTACCGCCGATTGTCCTTGATTAGACAATGTACACGATAATGTATAGTAATTTGGATATAAAGAATACCTCCTTTATACACATATGTATATTATATTCATGTATATGGTAATATATATGAATTTTTTCTTGTTCCCTTTTTTTTTATCGTTTCATATTTATTCTCTCCTTTCTTGATAAACCATTATTGTTTAAATGTGCAGCGTAGAAGAGAGACGTGACCATTGAAATAACAAATGGCTATATTTTTCAAAATTTATGCAAGATCAGAATATTTTATCTTTATTGAGGATAGAACAAAAATAGAAAGTTATAGAGAATAGACAGTAGAGAATGACAGTAAGCAGCAGTATGTTCGATTTTACGATAGAATATTACCCATGTATTCACCAACTTCCATCCGGCTTTTACGAGCTTATAATTAGCGATCTAAAAATAAAACACTTGCAGTTATTACGTAGAACCTTCTTCGATTCGTCCCAAGCGTGTTTCCGGCGTAAAGCCAACTATGTCTATTGTTATAGCTTTCATCTGACACCTGTCTGACAAAAATGTGATAAACTAATGCTGCTTAGCAGAGTAATATGTTTTTGGCTTGATATCATATTCTTACTGACGCTTAACATTATGAGTTGTTACGTTAAATGTAAATAAAAATGCAAAGGAACGCGAATGTTATTTTCCGCTAATAAAATATATAACAAACTTTGTACCGATTCAATTTCTTCTTTCCAGATATGTAAATGAATGTATTTGTAAGAACGTCAAAAAGTTGCATTGAATTATTTGAATTCTTCAAATAAATTTGGGGATTATATAGAAATATATAAATTCGAAATATCTACAAATGTTATTAACGGTTCGCGTGATATACGCGTCATTTGAATTTTCCAAAATCAAATCAATATGTTTGAAGCAAATAGTCAACGTTCGCATCTGAAGGAGCATTTACCTCAACGATTCGTTGTATAAATGACTCATTAATTGTTATATTTGTAATTACCGAACGAGTCCCTTAGAATCCGTCCATATATGAACGATAAGGCAGCATATACTATCACGCTTATCAAAGTCTAACGGACGAGATTCTACTGTCGATCGCAGCGTTCCTACGGTGGATCTATAAAGTTTCATCATGTATTTACATACATATGGCATACCTTATATTAACTATATCTATAAATGAAATATCAACATTTTTTCTCATTTATAAAAGAACGTGTGCAGTGTAGAAATAAATATAGTCATTTTTTTTTTTATATCTACATTCCTATCTGTCAGTAAAAAAAAAAGTATGAAGAAAAGTGTATAAATAAGTAGATATTATACGTATATAAATTTATACCTCCGTTGACTTAATCAACAAAATTTCAGGGATTAATAATTTTCTCTTCGATCCATAGAGTAAGATCCGAATAAATAATATTCGTAAGACTCTGCAATTTGTTCCAATTCGATACTATATTATTACTATGTTACTATTCGTTGCAGGAATCGATAATGGTTTGTAATCGATTTGATTTAGCGCATCGAAAGTCAAGGATTCGTGGAAGTACCGAACATTCATGCGAGCACTTGATGTTGCAATCAAGGAACCGTTAGCGCGGCGATCCAAGTTCGTTGATACAATCGGGATACGTTTAAGGAAATAGGAAGAGTGGGGATTACGTCCTTGATGGATTTGAAAACCGCTAGATTCGCGGGCTTGTAGATATTAGCATGTACAATTATGTGCCAGAAGATTTTCGTTATGACCACTTAAAACACAAGTCCGCGGCTAGAATTTGGTGCACACCCAGTTAAGCCGTAGACGTCGACGGATCAACTGTCAAGTGGGTGGTCTTAACATTTGAATATCTAATTATTACAATCTCATCATGGTAAGTAGTTCTTTTAATTTCAAAGTTTATTCAAAAAATCTGAGCAATTTTAGCAATTTTAAATCGCTATTTTTCGTTCCAAATATACTCCCAGAGTTTAGTGATTATAATTATTTTACTTCAATTTGAGAGAGGGAGAGAAATGAAATTTAAAAAAAACTCATAGTGTCTCTATTCCCTTTTTAGGATGATCTTCCAAAGGACCAAGTTGCACGTAAGTACAAAGACACGATTTCATCATAGATCACGATTGATCTTTCCTTTGACCACAATCAAAGAAATATTTCGTTTTAAATATGCCGTATTATTTAAGTTCTAAAGAAAGCATTCGACGCCTTCGATCATGAAAAGAAGGGATGCATAGGTACCGACATGGTTGGCACAATTCTGACGATGCTGGGCTACGAATTGAGTGAAAAAACTCTCCAAGAAATCATTAAGGAGGTAGACGAGGATGGTGTGTATTCAAATCGTTTTAATTTCGTCGAAGAACAGAAACATTATTTTCTATTTACCATTAGGTATATAGGTATCTTTCATATCTCTTTATTCCCAAAGGCTCCGGCGAGCTGGAATTCGAAGAATTTTGCACCTTAGCTGCTAGATTCTTAGTGGAAGAGGATTCGGAGGCGATGCAACAAGAGTTACGCGAGGCATTCCGTTTATACGACAAGGAGGGTAATGGTTACATTACTACCGCAGTGTTCCGTGACATTCTTCATGAACTGGACGACAAGTTGACGAACGAGGAATTAGATTTGATGATCGAGGAAATTGATGCTGATGGTTCAGGAACTCTCGACTTTGACGGCAAGTTTCTTTTCTTCCAAGTTAATATTAATTAATTTGATATAAAAAGAAAAAAGAAAAAAAATTACATCATCATTAAAGTACGATGTTACTTGTGTCATAAAAGTGATTTTGTGACAAGTTCAAAAAATTTATATTGCATATATGTATATATATATATATATATATATATATATATATATATATATATATATATATATACTTGACCTGATCTGATCAAGGAAGGATCATGGTATTTAGTAAATTTTACTTTTCAGAGTTTATGGAAGTCATGACTGGTGGCGATGACTAGGAAGTGGTCGTTTAGATTCTTCGAAGGCTACGGTTATGCACGTAATTGGCAGCGATCACGGGAATGCTGACGTCTTCACCTTTTCTCAAACTTGGCAATAGTTAACACGATGAAGAACGCGCGGAAAGAAAAGCAAAGAGCAAAATAATGCTATCGTACTCGTCTGTCGTTCGTTCGACGCCTTGCGCCTGCCCCTCTTACTTTTAATTTCACGCATGAAAATTCCAAAATGCTGCCGCAATTTTCTCCTTTGTTTCAAATCGTTCCTTCAAGATTTTATCATGAATGCGAATTTACGAGCTACCTCGAAGACTGTTCTATACGTATAATAAATAATCAAATAGGAAAAGCGCAAAATATAAGTTTACGTGTTTGAATAATTTAAATAGAGAAACAATTAGAATCGCGTTACCTTCAATATCTGCTGGTCACATTCCTGTTCTCATTTTACATTCGACGTATACAAGAACATAGAAATGTTAAATAAACTGTCTTATGGATATAAACGACTCTCGTATTATATTAAATACCTGACGTAATTATTTGCTTACTCTACTATCCCTAAGTTATATACATACATACATAAGGTTAAATGCAATAATTCACAATAAAAAAAAAAGGAAAAAAAATAAGAAAAAATAAGAAGAAAAAAGAAAGGAAAGAAAAACAGGAAAGACATAAACGAGCACACGAGGATTCATAGTACTTTCGATTCATTGTTAGTTACGCCTAAGCTTTATGCAACCACAGTGCCACGGTATATACGCCAACTTGTGAGATCCGATCCACTAGCTTTCTTCGGACCATTGGGTATCAATTATTATGTAAAATAAGTCATAACCTATTGTTCGATGGAAAGTCCCCAGTCAGGCAAGTTTACTATTATATTTACTTCCTTTCACATCAAATATATATTTCCACGAAATGCTCCGCGCATTATCTTCTCATAATATTTATTTACGTGACATCACAGTTATCTAATCTACTAGAAAAAACAAAATTTCGTGGCACGACGTCATAAATAAACGCACGACAATCAACTTCACAAATTTGGCGATTAACCGCACAACGAGTCCTATCATAATTTTCTTACGAAAACAAATCTACTCGCGTGAAAGAACGACTATCATCGAGCCATTGAAATTACGTGTGTTAATGAAATTATTCGTTTCTTATGATGTTCAAATTCTTCATTATCTTTCAAGATTAGCAAAATAATCGTAGTTGAGACGAAGCGATGATGATCAAGTGTCATCTTTTTCGGCACTTATTCATATTGTATTTGGATTTAATTATTTCATAAAATCCTATGAAAACGACAGGTGCAGACTAATTTAATAAATTTAATATAAATCGATAATAAAATTTAACACGATACTTATAGATATGTGTGACATGTCGTCGATGCGATTATACCAATTTCATTAGTAATTAGTATTCGCGCGAAATGTATAGTACTGTCAATTGCGAATGATACGACGCACTTAATGGTGATACGATATATTATGAGAGACTTATGTAAGTAGGAAAGCATTTCAAATCAATGTTTCCGTTTTGAGATGATATTACGTAATAATAACGCACTCTGAAATAAGCGTTGCCGCGTGTACAAGAGGTTCGTAAAGAGCCTTACCAAATCGGGCGTTCTCAAATGTTCTGCCACATCATTATCCTGGTATATTCCCACGTCGCGACCGGGACTAATATACTTTGGCGTGAAAACACTCGCTCGTAGGTATATCGATGTAATTCGCGTTCGAGTTTTATGCAGAGAGTCCTTGTCTCGGAACGAGATCTATCGCGAGGCTAAAAATTTCCAAGATTTTTCTTTGGAAAATCGGTGCGGAGGTGCTTGGAAGAGAGAGAGAGAGAGAGAGAGAGAGAGAGAGAGAGAGAGAGAGAGAGAGAATGAAAGAGAAACGAAACAACGATTTTACTTTCGACATTAGTCACTATGTGCGCGGTACTACTACTGTAAGTATATGTATTTACTTCAATTAAAATTTATATCCTAGCAAGTTTACGAACGTTCGCGTTTGCCCGTTCTCGTTTAAACACGTATCCGCGTGCCTGGCGACGTATGGCGATTTGAATTAATTTACACGGAAGAGAAGTTAAGCCCTTTCACTGTACGATTCTCTCGTCCGATATACGTTTAAAGTTTTTTTTGCGAATGTCTATAGTTGCGACGACTCGTGCTAATTCTTACGAGCAATCAGGCTATAATAAACTGTCGTCGAAAACGAACGTGTTCACGGCATAAAGTAAACATCGTTGAAAGCATCGACTGATTTCCTAGTAACGAGTAAAAAGATTAATGGTTTTCGAAAGTTCTCGCTAAGAGAAGAAGAAAAATAAATCGTCGAAAAGAACGATGAATTATATTGACACACTTGACTACGCCCTTACAAATCCGTTAATTACGCGTCTTTCTATTTACATATCATTCATGGATTAAACAAAGTAAATAACGGATTCGTTTTATGTGTTTGCTTTCGATTGGACGAATCGAGAGAAAAGAAAAGGAAAAAAACATGAATTTGCAATGTCCTTCCCGAGCATGGGATCCATGTATCTAAATCCATGGATAACAAACTGAAGCCTAAATCATCGTTCATTACGTATGTCATTGAGACTGAATGATCGTTTTTTTAACCGAAATATATGAGGTAATATATAGGTCTTATATAGGTACTTAGATATACACATAAATACTCGTAGATTGGCGGAAGCAGGTTGTTTTCGACAGATGCAACTCTTAAGGAGAAATCTCCAAATGAAATTAGAATATTCGCAAGGCAACTTAAGTATGCTTGCGTAAATAAAATATAAAGTATAACGACATATAGATGTATATGTCATGATATGCTGTTGATGTTTGATTTCTTCTTCTATCCAATAGGAGAATAGGAAATATCAGTTTACCTTGCGCGTTGCAATTAGTTCTAAGTCACCCAAGAAGTTCATAATCGATGGACGTATGACGTTAGTTCATCTGTCTGTCTGTCAATTTCTCTCTCTCCCTCTCCCTCCCTCTCTCTCTCTCTCTCTCTCTCTCTCTCTCTCTCTCTCGATCAATCGATCGATCGGCATCAATTTTTGTTCGCGTTCCACACTGAATCTATTGGACATTGGAATGCAAGAAAAAAGTAATTATCCGGACGACATAATTTCCCATCTTCGAAAAGCAGAGAATGCGTTAAAAAAAGTGTTAAATATATCGGTGCAATTCTCTAAAGTTTCATTATGAATAAACAAAAGTGGCCCTTCCGATATCCTTCGATATCTTGTCCCCCATTCGGATAATTTTGTTACTTTTATTAGACAAACCAACGAGATAGTTGTTACGTTTGTATTTACCTCTCTATGAGTATCCCTCGAGACAAAAGGCAAGGCCCGAGCGTTTGGAAATGCGCAATCGCGATTAAATGGTCATTTAATGGTGGCGCTCGTCGTTCCGTACCACTTTCTCCGTCAATTAGATACCTGGGCTACATTATCCATTACGAATTGAGCCCATTGCGTGTTCTCTCACATCGGATAAACATCCGACAAGGATGTGTCTTATTCTTGTATCGGTATATTGTATTATATAGTATTATAATTAATTTAGAAACTAATTTAGAAGATCATATCTTTGATATCCATTCATTGAAACGTTGACAGTATTGTAATATATTAATTACAACATGGATTTCATAGACAAAAGATTTTCATAGGCGGGAGAATCATCTTAGAAGATTGCACAGATACTTTAATTATATTCATTGTAACGTTATTCAAAGAAAAATCTTTTTTTTCTTGCATCAGAGAAATTAAATATCTAATTCGCGAGTATTCGTCCCAATCATTTGTAGTACTTCCGCATTGGTTTCTCCACTAATTAGATACCCTGTGATACATTGATCCGAATGAACGAACTAATGGATCATGATTTTCTACACGTCACTCATTATCGAACAGGTGTTCTCTAATGAATCAGAAAGTTCCGAAAATCGAAAGTTTCAAACTCGTCATATTCACGCCATATCCGTTTCCACTGCTTTCGATTAGCAGGATCCTGTGATTTTATAATGAAGTATTTTTCGATTTTAGTCACACTACTTCTGACTCGTGTTTCTACGGAAAATTTTATCGTAGAAACTATTTTCTGTTCCGTTCTTGGGCAATTATTACTTATTATAGGCAAGATAGCCGGTTTGTGCAATGTAATCGTTATGGTGCCGCTTTTTCACATCGAGTACCAGTTTCCTGATCACTTTCTTACCAAATATCTGTATCACTTTTCCTAATTGTGTTTCGTACATTCCATCGCGTAGTTTTATGCGATTACATAAGTAAGTATGAACATAACGTAAATAGTATGTTACGGTATTCGATGAAATTGGAGAAAAAACGCACAACAAAAGACGTTGGGGGAACTAATAAGATGAAGCTTCTATTCATTGTCTTTATTCTTATATGTGCATAGTAACATACGTACGTTTATTTATCAATAATCAAAGATCAGCGAAAAGAGAACAGCGTTATTTATCATTAACTTTTAGCGACGAATGCACAATTGAGTAAGATCTCTCTCTCTCTCTCTCTCTCTCTCTCTCTCTCTCTCTCTCTTCTCTTATTATTCTTACAGGGACTTGATGCCGAGGTGAATAATCCTCTCGCAGAAAATTTACAACTATAACCCAATTGTTGTCGTTGTTCGGGAATACCGGCCTACGAAGGAGAAAGTGGGTGAAGGCTAGAAACGAATGATTTACTACAATTACTTGCAATCCTTTGCGTGCTGCTAGACTTTGTTAACGAAGCAAGTGCCGCCATGAGAAAGTACAAGCGAGCGATTCGAGTTATGCTCTCGATCGGATATGCCACGCCGAAGCCACGCGAGTACTGTCAAGGATTTTTTGATCGATTGAAATCGCTTAATGATCACAAGTGGAACCTAAATCGAGAGATAAAAGTCGAGATAAATCAATGGTGTTGTATTTGATTCGTGTATACATAGGTAATACATATTAAAACTTTTGTTCGGCTCATAATTGGCTTACCTTATTGTACTTTCCTTTTAACGAGAATACTTGAAATTTAAGCCTATAATAAGGCACGCTTAGTTATATAGTTTTTTTTTTTATTTAATAACACGATGGCATCGATCTTTGATCAATGAAATATCTCATTCGTTTGACGTTTCTCCAAATTTTGAAGAGCGTTCGTCGATTAAAACTTTCAAGTTAACTAAGTTGACTAGTTGGTTATTTAAAAAATTATTTATCCTTCTTAGATATGTAGAAATTATGAACGTCATTATCTTCGAAAAATATTAACCTTTATAAAAGCATAGCACAAGAAAAAGTGAAAAAATCTGACGGAGTATCCTAATTGCCCGAAGAGAACATTTTGAAATGATTATCTAAAATTGTTTAATCATACATAGTCAATGCATGTATACATAGTCAATACCAGTAGCCTTGCTCTAGATTCTGTACGCGTATGATTTCCATTATGGTATCCGTGATGACCGTTTGCAAAAGTATAAATTAACTACAAATTATAATGATCGAATGCTAGAGTAGCAAATGCATAGATAGGATACGAATTAGCTCTCTTTTAACTCAACGAGATTGACGTTCCCCTTTCGAACAAAAGAAAGAAAGAAAGAATCGTGTCTGTGCCTTAACCTTTGCCTTGACCACCAAAGATTTATGAACGAACGAGGATAGGCACATCGGAAATTACGATATTCTATACTGAACCATCGTTAGCCTCATCGAAGTGTTACGACGATTTCACTTTCGATCAATGAACGTAGAGACCTTGCATGATCTCTGTTTATACATATCCATTAATTTATATCTATATCACTTACTATCTCGATCACCTGTTTCCGAGATAGTTTAAGTAGATAATTTATGTTTCAATAAATCTGTTTCTCTGATTCTTCTTAATAAAATCAACCTATATACATATGCATATATATATATATATATATATATATATATATATATATATATATATAAGCGATAATAAGGCAGATGGCATTATACACTATTCAACTATAAACGATAATAAAACGATGTTGCAGAAAATTAAGGCGATCACCAGCAATATTAAAGACGAATTATTCCGTTTCCAAAGGCAACAAATGCGTATTGACGATCGTATTTTGCCATCCAAACCGGAAACTCTATATTATTGACCAAAGGATGGTAGAAAAAAGGAAAAAGTCAGAAGACAATTTACGATGACGTAAAAGCGAAAACCTTTAATATATAGAAGAGTAGTTTCTCGTTTCACTCGCATCCAATTACATAGACACGATAATCCGATTAGTATTTTTCCAAGTTAGAGAATAAACATCCTCCTCGAAGTGATATTGTCCTCTCTCTCTCTCTCTCTCTCTCTCTCTCTCTCTCTCTCTCTCTCTCTCTCTGATTCTCTCCGTCGATTGCCCAACTAAGCTTTAATACCTAATGATTCAAATCAACAGTATAGAAACTTCTCTAAAATTAATCGTTAAACTTGATTTGGATAAAAAAAAAGTCATCCTCTCTTTTAACATACTCGTATGTATATTCGAGACAAAATATTAAAGAAATGAATCGAATTAGATGGAAAAGTTCTTTCGCAATAAAAATTTGGAAAATAAAAATTTCGTGACGAGAAATAATTCTAAAATTCTTTTAATCGATCTAAAGCCATTACCAATCGGGAGGTCGAATCTATAAGTTATGTCCTATAACGATTGAGATACAACTCAAGAATGATGTCTCGAAATATAGGATTATAAGTCGAAAAAGAAGTGAAAAGAGAGAGGGAACGAAAGAAAGAGACGTACAAGTATTACCTATATATGCAGACGTGTAGATATGTAAGCGAAACGAAAAGATTTATTAAGTATCCTCTGAAAACTCGTCGCACCACGCTTCTATTATAATCGCCAATTGGCATTTGTCAAGGCGTGAAAGGAAAAGGGCGGAGAAAAAATTGTTGTGTTATTGAACATGTATTTGTGCAGGCACGAATTTGATCATAAAGCATTTCTGAAAGGTGTGAGAATCGATTATGGAACGGAATCTTCGTTTCCATCGGTTGTAAGAAATTTAGCGAAGCGAGCGTAAAATATAAATATTTTACTTTCCCATCCTGAAAGATTTCTTTTTCCTTTCCACGAGAGAGGATTATGATCGAACGATTTGGTTGAATGTATGGATTTAATATGGAATGTATGGTTTGGTTGAGTGTATGGATGAAATCATTTTCACTTTTGAATTTTAAGATATCAATGATTTTACCGACGTAGTAATGATTTTTAATAAACCACGATAATAGCGAATTATGGAACGTAGCCGAAACAAATTTAATGGGCTATGATTAACGCGAATAAAATTACACAGTGAAGCGCGTTCATCCTAATCGACTCGAAAGCTCGAATCATGTGGTTA